GAGAGACAACTACACGGAGCTCCGGTCCGTTCCAATCAAGGTACACGCAGCGCGATTGCCACTTGTTCACACAGCAGCGGAAGCACTTGCATCTCGGAGGGCAGGTCGCCATGCTTCAAGCCAACGACTGCTACTTTGAAGTGTGTGCCACTGCTGCCTAGCTCATCTATCTGCCTAGCGCCTCTCCGGTGGCTTCCATGCATGACATTGCAGCTGGCTAAACTGGAGGCAAAATGCCTGCATCACGACTTAACAATCAAACAAGTGTCAATCACTTAAATCACATCGTCTTGTCCCACCCAATGCAATGGCCAGCAGGCCTTTCGGAGCCATTGGAGAGCGCCTGACATGACTGGCAATGATAGGCCAAACTCATAGTGCTCTGTGGTGCTATCGAGGCTTCATGAAGGCTCAGGTCTTGTTTCCAGTCAAATGGCCACCAGCTGACAGCCATTATACCCATAAACTCATGTGAGTTACCTTCACCGGGCTCCAACGAATCACTGAAGAATTCCCTGCTCACAGCGGTAACTTATTTATTGAGCGTCAACCGACCCCAGGAGTCCATGGCAGTTTCCACGGTCACCTGCTGGCATCCGTCGACGTGCACTGCTGCCAAGATGTCACCTTTCTCGGATTCTGCGATGCATAGGCTTAAGAAAGCAGCCCAAGCCATGAGGACCAAAAACCAGCCAGGATTTGTAACGTCCTGCCACAGCCAAAAACTCAAACCTAATTTATAATAACGCCTCCATCTCTGAACTGCACGACCGGTCCATCATCATCCAAAAATATGCAACGATCTTTCCATTTATTATGCAATCTCCGGAAGCAATGGCATGACTCAGGTCATGCCATGAATGAACCTAGCGTCCCCAGCAGACTCAGTCGCCTAACCTATGCATGGGTATGTCGTGCACTTCCGATGCGAATGTCTGTCTGGTTGGGTGGGTCTGGGGCCTGGGTTGATATTATTATCTGTAGCACACATCTGCGAGAGTGCAAAACAATCTGCAGCACGTCAGGGGTTTGACCAGCTTTCGAGGCCCTGGCGTCGTCGCCCCAGGCACGGCCTGAGCGAACCCCAGACAAGGATAAGAGTAGAAGAGGGAAAGGCGAGGCAGTCTGAAGCACAGAGCAGATGCAATGGATCACGACCAAGATGTTGAGGGTCCGGCTTTAACGTTTTAGCTGCTGGGCTTCTAAAGTTTAGGGTTTACGATATTTTTCCCCCGCGCGAGGCCGTGGGCTCCCCACCCAGGCACATGTCTGAGGCGACTCAGCCGCGCAACTTCGCTAACGCCTGCTCCAGGATTGCAATCGTCTGTTGAGCTTTCGTCAACTTTGGCAAAACCTCCTGGAGTTTCCGCCGATCAGCCATCAGGCCCTCATGTTCTTTCACACAGCTTACCATATGATCGAATGCTTTCTGGGTGAGTCGGGGTCTGACCTCTTTCAATTGAGAATCTTTCCGGACGAGGTTTTCCTGACGCTTTTGCCGGCCCACCTCCTTTGCCGTCTTCGGCTTCGGCGGCTTCTCAGGAGTCAGATCCAGCAAGACATCACTAGCGGACTTCAAATTTGAGAAGCCTTTCACCGCCCGTGCACCACGCCCCGACCCCACAACGGCATCCATGTCCCCACCTCGGGTTGGCAGCCCTCACACCTGCTGCCCGGCTGCCCTGTGTGCTGTCCCACAACTAACATGGAAATCTACTCATGCCCTGTGGGCTGCCCCACGACTAGCATGAACATGCATCTGCCTCACGCCCTGTGCGCTCCGACGACTAGCACGACAAAGAAAAACGATTCTCTCAATCAAGCAGCGGCAGGCGTCCACTGGCTGCACCGGTTTGGCAGCTGGTAGCACGAGTGCGCGATTAGAGTCACCTAAGCCCCGCAGCCTAAGACTGCGAACCCAACGGAAATTCAACGAAACATTCGGTATGTTTGCCGACAAGCTTCCATGAGGCTCACCTTGAGGAAAACTCTTGGACCATGGGGACATGCCGAAACGGCGAATCCTTCTAGGAGGGGTGATCATGATCGCGGCTGCAGGCTCACCGTGACACTTGTGATATGTGGCATGACGAAACACTAAGCTTCACAGCAGCAAATCCGAAACACACCGCAAATCCGAACACCAAGCCCCCCAAGCCGAGCACAATCGAAGCCAGCAGCATCCCGCCTAGTGTAGGATTCCAGGGTTTACAACACTCTCGCAACTCGGACTCTACCAGGCGAGTTTGTCGCAGCGAAGGGGCATGCCGCCGAGACTGAGAAGCGGCGAAGGGGCATGCCGCAGCTACTACACTTACACTGCAAATCGAATGAAGGCAACTCCAGGCACACGGCTCCGTCGACTCATCATCGGTCCGCACCTGAGTCTGAGAGTAATGAGGGTTTCTGCCAGCTGCCGCCGAGCCTCTGCAGCCAGTGGACCCCCGCCGCGGCTTGATTAAGAGATTGTTGGGCAGCACACAGGACACGGAGGTGGTTGAGTAAATTTTCATGCTAGTCGTGTGACAGCATACAGGGCATGAGGTGTTCATGCTAAGTCGTGTGACAGCACACAGGGCATGACCCTAAACCCTACCAGGTATGGACATGGATGATGCGGTTGTACAGGCCGAGTCTGCGTGTGCTGCGCCGGGGGTGTTCTCAAGCCTGAAGACGGCCAGTAGGGATATCTTGCTAGATCTGACTCCCGAGAAGCCTCCCAAGCGTCGGGATCAGAAGGTCAAGGGCAAGGAGCTGAGCCGGCAAAAGCGGCAGGAAGACCTGGTAAAGAAAGATGCCCGAAACAAAGAGATCAGACCTCGGCTCACCCAGAAAGAGTATGATCATATGGTCCGCTGTGTTAAAGATCATGACGAGCTGGTGGCTAGTAAGTCGAGTGCACGATTAGAGTCACCTAAGGCTAAGGGAGAAGATATCGAATCATTTGGTTACCAAACATACCGTATGTTTGCCGACAAGCCAGCTTTTGGACCACGGGGACATGGCCCAACACCGAATCCTTCTAGGAGGGGTGAACATGATCGCGGCTGCAGGCTCACCGAAATGCTTGTGATACGTTAAGCTTTCCAGCAGCAACTCCGAAGCATATCGCAAACCGGAAGCATAATAAGCAAGCCCCAAGCCCAGCACAATCGAAGCCAGCACCTTCCCGCCGCATGGGTTTTAGGGTTTAGGGGGGTTTTG